AGGCTGATTGTGTCGATGTCTACTAATGTTTGTAAATGGAAAACAATTATTTCAGAATTGCTGTATGTTGCAGTAGAATTTTAAGCAGTTGGAATTTGTCTTTCAGATACATATGCAATCATACCATCCTTTGTGAAATCATGATTTTATAGTGAACCAGGAAAACATTACCAAATGCATTTTAATTATGTGTATTGTTTTTAGTATTATGTGGAGGTTTAGTATTGTGGGGTTTTTGGAGTTGCCAGAGGTAAAGAGCTTGGAGTTGTAATTTACTTGCAAGTAAAAGCTGCCCATTCTAGTCTAGCAATGGTAATCTAGTGCTCAGGCAAAGTTAGTGTGCTGATCCACCATCCATGCTCATGCACATTGGCTAGGTACAGCCCCCAGGCTTCGTGTGAGCACTGGCTCTTTGACGTGATAATTTGCTGTGCTGATGACAAATGTATTTTTACAGTGTCTGTACTGGTGCACTGCTAGAAATAACTGAGCTGAGAGGCTATTTAAAGTACTGCCTTCCTTTTGTGTACATCAACAGGTTTTTGAAACGGCAAAAGGGATTTCGATTACAGTTGAGGGAGCATCATTTCAAGGAACACATAGGCTTTTAGTAATGTTAATTATTTCCAGTGGGTGTTTGTAACTCTTGAAACTGAGTGGAACAAAAATCCTTGTTTTCTGCTACATACCATATGGCAAGAAAAGATAGCTGAAGTACTGATAGCTGAAGGATAGAACAGAACTATCATGTGCATAAGAGACAGGTGTTCTTAAACACTGTTCTTCAGGAGTAAATATTTTGTGCCATGACTGATTATATGCAAAGAAGTTATATTGATTGTTAGAGCTTTTAGTATGGGTTTGCAGAATGGTTGTTTTGAAATGTGTGATATTTTTTCTGGTCATTTGAACAAGCTTACCACGGACTAAACTGAGCAGTAATTGTGACCAGAGATCTAAATAGCTGTCCTTGATTTTCTTCCATGTTCATGAGTGTAAGTTATATTTGGGATACTCCTTATAAAGATAGTAGAGAAATGTAATGCTTGAATTTCGTTTACTGATTGACAATTCTTTACTCTAGTGGTTTCAATTATTCAAGTCATTTTCTGCATCTTGTGCCCTGGCTCACTTAGAAAACAAATACTGAAACATGGTTACAGTTCCTGACACTTTTTAGGACAGATTAATTTCTGTAGTCCTCCCAACAAAAAGCTCAAACCAAACAAATGTGTAAGTTCTTGCTAAATACTATTTGTGAAGCAAGGTGCCTTTGTTTTCTGGAGAGTGATGATAAACGAAAGTTTGCAGTTTTGCACTGGACATCCCGCAATTTGTGGCAAGCTCTTTACTTCTGCTGGCCTTAGTTTCCATAAATGGGGAGTATCAATCCTTTTGGAGATCATAATATAAAATTAAGTCTTCTGATTCAGATCTACTGTATCACTGAATATTTTAATAGCAGCTATTTCTGGGTATCATTTTAGTAAAACTTGATATTTTGACCAGTAAATTCAAGATGATGTTTGAATGTCACAATGAAGGACGTGCTCCTACTTGTTAGACACAGCTGTGATAGCACCTTGTGTGCTTGGCTCTGAGCTTAAAGGCTACACTGAACAGTTTTAGCAGGGACACCCTCATTCATTGGGGTGTATTCAGAGGCAGTGCTATTATGAAAGCGTTTTATTTAAAAGGATTTGCGGGTGATCAGCTGATGCAACGATCAGTGATGTGTGGAGAGGTTGTCAGAGACTGTGCAACATCAAGTTCTGCATTACCTCACTTTGAAAGCAGCCTGGCATTTTAGACTTGTGCTTTACTTGTGCAGGTTTTATTCTGATGCACTTAATGCAACAGTTCATCATTCCTGTCTTTACAAACCTGCTGTAGGGAGTGAGGAGTGGGGTATATGTGTCCTTCTAGTGTCTGACTCATTTGATACCATCCTAGTGCATATAAATAGTGCACAGAAGTGTATAGCATCATCTAACCTCTCAAATTTGAGAAGGTTGGTGAAACTGTTGGAAGAGTGGAAAACACACTGTACTTTAAACCTTTCTGAAGTACAATCTTTGGGCAGTAGGAAGTCTTGGCAATGGTATCGAGATAGTAATGTTTTTAAGTACTTTTAGAAACAAAATGTGTAATATTTCTCTGTGCCTTGTTTTAGTGTAAAGAAGGGTGTAAAATTCCTTCATTATATCCAAAGAAAGACATGATGGTCAGGAGCTGCATCTTGGGAGGCAGGTTTGCCATCTGGAAGGTTTTCCTGGCTTTTACAACTTAACATCATTCACTCGCTAAATGTATCTTACTTCAGTGAGGTACTGGTAGCTTAGGGATTGTTTTATGCTTATCCTGTTCTGTCACATCTGCCTGTTCACTTTATCTGTGCCTTCACATATATGCTGTCATGTCTATTCCAAGTCACATGATTCTTACATGTTGTGCATGTCTTGTTTTGGTTTTTTTAATGATTACTGTCAAACAGAAATAAAGTTAAGATGCTAGTCACCTTTGAGACATGTGAGAAGTTTTTGTCTTCTTGGCAAGAGAGGGAGGCAGTGAAGTACTGTAGTCTTTTTCCAAGATGTGTGTTTTGTATCTCATGAATTTTACACAAACCATTGGAATCACAAATTCAGGGTTTTAGATAAATGCCAATGGTGGATTTGAAAATGAAGTTCGGTGAACACTGGCAATTCTTCCATTAGCAGAGATATTTTAGGATGCTTAGCTTTTGATTGCAACAGATCCTTTTCTTGATTTTCAGGGAATATAGTAGACTGAATTACCATTTACGTTCACTTTCTGCAGGCTGGAAATAAAGTTTCTGCTGAATCAAGTATCTTCCAAAGAGCTCCTTAGAAAGGTTAGACCAGATTAATGGATTTCCTTCTTTGCTACATCCTATGCTGTAAGGCATTGTGGAGGCAGTGACTATATTGAATCATGTTGGTTCCTACTGAGGAATCATCATCATCATCTTAAGGAATTAATCTGAAACTTGGGCAAGTAACAGTCTACACTTCTCGTTGTCACAGACTTTATATTCAGAGCAGCTGTCTAGAACAAGGTATTTTCTAAAGGTGGCCAAGAACTGCTACAGTTAATAGAATTTATTAATATAACTTGTGTAACTGTATCATAATCAACCTGCAAGTACTTGGGAGTCAGTAGCCTTCCTTAAAAGCAGAAGGAAATTGTCCTCTGCATTATTTTTCTCCTTAGAACTTTGTTCATCACAATGAATTTTTTTTTTAATTAGAATCTTTATCTTCCAGTGAACCTCAAATAAAGCATTTATCCTGGTATTTGGCAGCTGTACTTGGCAAAGAAGTGAAGATGTGGGTGTTGTTTCTGAACATTTAATTTTGGTTCTTGGGCTGTGTTATATAAATGCATCCTTGCATGAGTGTGCATGTGAACTGGAAGCCTCTAGCTCCAGTACATTAAATGGTTGATGCCAGGAGGAGGAGGAAATATATTCCTAATTGAGAGAAGCTACATCTTCAGTAAGTCAAAGTAAGGCAACATAAGACTTCTTTTAAGGGTATGGGTTTTTTTTTGTTTGTCTCTTAATTCAAAAAAGAAGCTATTATGTTGCAGTACCAGTGCATTAGTAAGTAGAAACTGATGTTTGATCTGCCAAGTGTACAACAAGCAAGCTTTGTGGGTATGACACCAAGGACATGTGCAACTGCCAGTACTTGAGCATCTACATGGTGTTGTGCATGCAAAATTAATACAGGAAGAGTGATATTAGCAAAATATGAGCTTTGTGTGTGTAACTTTATTATATATCGCATCATGAAAATGCATCCCATTACCATCACCTGAAATAGGGAGCTATGAAATGTATTGCCTGAAGTTTTATGGCTGCCTCAGTTATTAACCACTGCTTAATGAATTTACCAGCATTAGTAGATTGGGATTGATGCTATTGGCATGTTATATTTAACCGTGAAATCTTTAAAAGATCTGAATGGCTTAGAACATAAAACAAAGTAATGGATGAAGTGCTTGGTGCCTTGGCTTGGATCCAGCTTGATGTCCTAAATGAATGCATCGTGAAACCACAACAGATCAACCCAGATTTACATGAGTGATGCAGAAGAGCCCTGAAGCTAAGCCAACATAGTGATTGAATTAGCTTCTGCATTTAGAGAGGCTTCTCCCTCCAGGTCAGACTTCTAAGCACTGATGGGCTTGCGTGGGGAATTCGCAGTTACAGACTGAAGTATGCCTACATTTGGGAGGAAAAGAAATCTTAGAGCTTGAGAATTTTTAACTTTGACAAGTGTGACTGATTTTTGTTTTAGGGGGAAAAGGGGGAAACACTGTGAACATTTCCATTAGTGGTGCTTTGGTCAAGGACCTGCCAATCTTCCCAGAAATATCTGTTCAAAATTTGAAACATTTTGTTGCCACGGGGTTGATAAATACCTTATGTATTGCTCACCTTCATACAGTGTGTGGCTTTTTCTTGTAGTAAATAATAACTGTACTGTAGTGTGATGCTCACAAATGGGATTACTTTGCAAATATCTGTGTGTACTGGTGCAAAAGCACAGCATTTGTGATCTCTTCTCTACTTTATTTTTAATAAACTGATTTTTTTTGTAAATGTCAGATTAAAGATAAGATATGGTGGATAACCAGAAGCATTACTCTTTTTGGGTAATCATGTTTTTAATAAAGTTTTGTTTTTACAAGATGCAGGAAAATAGTTATTGAAGAACAATGTTGGGACATGAAGTGTGTCTTTTTTCTAGAGATTTGTATCATGACAAAGATGTTTCAAAGAGATATTGGGGACATTCTAAAAAATATATTCTACAATTCATATTTTTAACCATAATTTTTAAATTTTTGCCCTCACAAAAGATATTGTTAAGTTCCAGCAGCTATTTTATTGATGTTAGTGTTATAGGCAGTTCCTGTTTATGTACACTTCAATACTTCAGTAACCAGATATCTCCATTTTTGTTTCTCAGCATGATGTATCACAGACTTTGCTGAAAGCAACTCTGGACAGTGTGGTTGAAGAGTGTGTCAGCTTTGTAGGAGTTGATATTAACATCTGCTCAGAAATACTATTAAGGTGAGTGAAACATTTTCCTATTCCAGTAATTACGTGGCTCTGGATCACAGAGTCTCTGTTTAGTCTGCCATCTGACTCAAGCTCAGCTGGAGCAAATGGCTCTTGTGTTAAACTTCCAATTACATAAAAATGATGCAGTAAGACAGTATTTCACTGAATCATTAAGAGCCAGGTTTTAGGGATATGTGTGATTCTCCAGGGTAAAACTATGCTTCAGAGAAAAACAGATCTTTAAAAATTTAGAGCCAACACTGCAATTTTAGAAAAATGTGATATAAGTAATATGCATTTTTACATGGAGAAAGGTATTTTCCAATGTACTTTGTCTCTTAGAAGGTATTTTTATAGGTACTTCTAAGTGGAACAAGTTGTAAAACTTGGGTGAGGAAAGGAGAAAATGAAAGATGTAAGGGGAAATTTGAAAAATTTATCCCTTTTTACTGTTTGTTTTTTAAGTAGTTATGCCATGTTTACTTGAAGAATGTTCTGGACTTTATTTTTCAGGGTTAGAAACTAAAAGCTCATTCTCTCTTGAATGTGTAGAATTCAGTATTGTTTAGGCGACAAACTCTCAGAAGAGCAAAAGTGCTGCTGTCATCCTCCATAGTAGGAGGGGAAGGAAAAGAATGTCCATAATCTTCTGTTCATATTCTTCCCTAATATTACTGTCCATAATCTGTAATGAAAATTATATTAGGTATGAAAGTTAGGAAAAATGCATTCTTGCTAGATCTATATTTTATTTTTTTAGCCCCTTAGAATCTTTCTCAAAAACATCTTTCCATATTTTGGAAGAGGCTCTCTTTCTATGCTTTTTGGTTTTCTACTTCCATATTCTTTCTCTGCGTGTCCAGCCCCTGCCCAGTGCCTGATTTCTTCTGTCTTACATGCTTTTGTCTTTAGATCAGCTTTTAGAAAGAAAGTAAGTGGAAAGCAAAGTACCTAAATGACAAATGAAGCATCAACAGAATAGAATCATAGAATAAGCTGAGTCAGAAGGAACAGCTATATTGTCCACTTCAGCAGGAAGCATCAGCCTGAGATGCTACTGTGCCTCCACAAAACTGAATGTGGGGTAATACTGTCCAGACAGGGCTACAGGTGGTAACCACATTGTGTAAGTATTTTGTGTGGTCTAATTAACCTGGCTTACAATTGTTCAAGTCTGCTGTTCTGAGTAGATGCAGTCTTAAGTTTCCTTCAGACATCCAGTTTACAAGATTGCCACCCTAGCTAGATTGCAGCCTGAGCAGAGCTTTCTGTTTGGGGTTTGTGATGCGTCAAATACAGTTCTTGACACATAGTACACAAGGAGGCGATGACACTGCTACAGTATTTGCATCAATCTGCTGAGTATTGTGCTTGAAAGACTTGAGATCATCAGTGGAAAATTCTGTCAACTGTGTAATGTTCCTTCATCGGTGTACATAAGCCGGATTTCTCAATGTTACAAGAAATTTTTGAAGAAAATTCCATTCCTAATGGTTAATGGTCTGTCTGTGGTTAAAGGTGTGTCCCTCTAATTTAATTCTGAGCTTTCATCAACTTTGGATTATTTCTTTTACTTTTGCTTGAGCATGAAAATAATGTAAAGATTTTTTCTTTTTTCCCTGAGATTTTATGGGTCTTGCTGGTTTTGCTGGTGGTGATTTTCTAGAATCAGTTCATGCCATTCCACAAACAGGTCATGCTGCTGCTGACTTAAAGCAATGGTATCAGATAAAGCCTAGTGCATGACATTTCCTTCACTAGTGCCATGTGTAACTCCCCACAAGAGCTCTTTTCTCTTTTTTTATGATTAACATACTCCACACAGAGAAAGTTTTGCTCACATGTATATACATAAAATTGCTGCAAACCCACAGCTTCCTGAAGGAGCCTGGCTAACTGCTGTTGCACTTCACAGGTAAGTTCTTGGCCAGGTCCAAATTACCCTCAGAACAAGTCGTGTTCCCAGCCTCTTCACAGCTGCTTTTTATTTCAAGAAGAGCTGAGAAAAGAAACAAGCTTTGTAGATCAGTTCAATCATTTGAGGATGGCAAGCTGATCCCAGCCACTCTCCTTCTGGGTAGCAGACGTGAGCCCTTCACGTGCAAGGCAAGGTGTTTCAGTACCATTGGAAGGGCTGAGAGGGGACTGTTCTTGCAGGAACAATTTATCTGTTCTGAGCCCTCCTCCCACACCATTTCCTGAAGAGGGCAGCTGGGGGCAGGCTATAAGACATGACAAATTGAAGTGGCATTACGGAAATAGCCAACAGATCATAAATTACACGTCCCTGGCTTACTAGTTAGGAGTGTACAGAACCGGATTGCTGTACTAAGTTTTCTTGACTTGAGTGGATTCCTTCCACAGAAGTAAGAGAAGGGATCCTTTTTAAGACAATGCCTTTGATCTGGGAGTCTATTTGCTAATTTCTTAGCAGTTTTTAAGTTTTGTAAACCAGATTTTCTATAGGAATGCGTATCCTTGTAATGGGTAGCACTTGCAATAATGACTGTTCAATGGTAATAAATGTATTTTGTACATTTTCTCTTAGACACATTGCAGGACTGAATACTAACAGGGCTAAAAATATAATTGAATGGCGAGAGAAGAACGGACCATTTATAAACCGAGAACAGCTCAAGGAAGTTAAAGGTTTGGGTCCCAAAACCTTCCAACAATGTGCTGGCTTCATCAGATTCAATCAAGAATATATAAAGACTTTTTGCAGGTAATAGAGATTTTAACTGTTCTGAATAAATAATCTAAAATAGAATGAGAAGACTTCCCCTTTTTCTGCTTTGTATTCTTGCATGGGACTCAAGGAATCCTAGACCACTGTGCTCTGAAAGACAACAAATTAACTTGTTAAAGTCCATGGTTGAAGATAGTTCTTCCCCTGAATAGTCATGGCTTGTCAGCCTAGTCCTCTAAGTCAGAGTTTTGATAAATATGTAAGTTTAATTAAACATTTTTCCACTGATTTGGTAAGAAAATTGTCATGCAGCAGTGTTGTGATCTGATATATTAAAACTTCAGTCTTGTTTTTCAGGCATAATACAGAGATCTGTAAATTAACTAATGTAATATGGTAAAGATTGTTCTGCAGAATTTAATGGTAGTAAACTAGTGGAGATTTTTGGAGTTTCAATTTCATTACCTGCAAAGAGGAAGTTGAGAAGCTGCCTAGATTAAACTGTGTTTATGCTATACTCCTGCGCCTAGCAAGTGTGCTGTGACTGTCTTCTGTCTGAAATACGTGAGGCCTTTTCCCAAGTGCAGTTTGTCAACAGTGTCTCATCCTCTTCTCTGTCATCTCCTTCCCTGATTCTGTACCAAGTCTTCTACTCTTTCAGCCATTCATAGTGCTCCTCTTGACCTTTCTACAACTGAAAATGCCCTTTCTAGCACAGTGTCTCTTCTCCTGTCTTTTCTTGCTTCTCTTTCCAAAATAAAGAACTAAGAAAGGGCATGACAGCAGCTCCATCGCTACACTTTTGCCATTGGCTCCTCTCAAAAAAATATTTTCCTGGGAAGCACATGCTATTATGTTTTAGCCAACGCAGTGCTCAGAAGCAATATTGTGTTCCCAGTTGCTGCTGGCCAAGCAGCACACGCGTAACTTCCAGGCAGGACGTGGGCACACAGGGGCTGGCTTGCTGCCCAGGTGGAAGGTGTACAGATTGGTTGCCCATCTGGCAGGGAGGCATAGGCTGCAGGCCAAGTGGTGCTCGCTGTAAGCACCAGAAGACCAAAGAAATTGCTTCCAAAGCTCTCTGTGATTGATAGGTCTTACCTTGGGCAGATCTGTTCTAGTTTCTCTAGTTTATGCTGCAATACAACTAATGAAAAAAAGGTTGATGATTTTTTTCCCCTTCCACCCCAGATGTTCACTGGTGAAATGTGGACATTGTTTTGGGGTTTTTTTAACCTTCTTGGAACATGATGTTAGTCAGATTCCGTAAAACCTGGGAACACTGTATAGCCTGAGAAATGGGTTTTAAGGCCAAAGTAAAGCTCTAACACCACTGCCTTCTTGTGGGTCCAGGTGACATAACCAGAGGCTTTTGAAATGAACTTTGAGGTTTCATTTTTATCCTTTCTAATCACTTTGATGACTTTAGATTGCTGTATGAAATAATTTTTGTGCTTTTTTTGTGAAATACAACAAATAGTGGTTACTTTAAAAATTGTTATGGAAAGAGGAAAATATGTTTGCATTTCTGCTAGCAGTTGGTGAGTGGAGCCCAAAATGCTAGAGCTAGTTTCAGGTCCTTCAGTGCATTCTCTTTCGTCCTCCAAAAGCAGGAACCACTTGTGATTTAGGAAAAAAAAAAACAAAGAGGCATGAAAGGAGCATTTGCAGTAGTAGTAATTTTGATGCCTTTAATGTGTCCTGATAAATTGTTTTCTTTGAGGATTTCAGGGGAAAAAATGTGTTGGTTTGTGTGTGGGTACTGGGTCAGGATCATCTTCATTGAAAATGATATGTCCATTTTTGATTTCTGGCAGTAATAAGAAAAATGAACTTGGAAATCGTGCACTTTTGACTAAAGCAGGTGCACTGGGTAAAAAGAAGAGTAAACTAACATCATGTGCCTCACAACAGCCCAATCCTTTGGACCAAACTTGCATTCATCCAGAGTCTTACAACATTGCAATGAGGTAAGTGATAGGAAAGCTTTTGAACCATTGACACCATCAATATTTAAAATGAAAATATTGATTTTTTTCTGACAACAGCCTGCTCAGTCATTTAAAACAGGAATATTTATATTGCTTTGAAGCTTTCACCCCCTTCTTCAAGAAGAAGGTATGCTTTGGATGTATGTGAGCATGTGTCATTACAATGGGCCTTTAAAATGAAATGTTGATATTGCAAGATCTAATTAAGATGTATATACAAATTCCCAAATACACAAATAGTACAATTGTTTTACTAAGTGGCTAAAAGAAGAGAATGGTTTTTATGTCTGTCAGAAAAAAGTAATCAGGAATCGGTGTGTGCCTCTGAAATACTGCTATAAGCTGTGATCTTTTCTATCAGCAGCCCTGGTTGAAATTAGACTCTGCTTTTCAGAAAACATTATCTCCTACCATATATGGGCACATATTTATTTTTCAACTGAATTTTACTGAACAGGTCCTTAAAAAGTACTGAAGCTAATTTCACCAGTAGCCAGTTGCTTTAAGATTCTTATGACCTCTGTTGAGATTATACGCCTGGACAAACAAACTTGTGCTTCCTGTTTTATAAACAAAACCATCTTTAAACCTCAAAGAGAGATGCAGAGTTTCTGTCTTCACAAAGCTTGACTTTCTTTTAGGACACCTTCCCTTCAGTGTGTACTCTGTTCTCTCTTCCTATCCATAGGTCTCCATATTTTCCTTCTGCTAGGCATGCAGTGAACTTCTGTTTCCACCCTCTCCCTGCCACAGTTGATTCTTCTTTGTGTCTGATTCTAGGACCCACTGTTCAATTTCTGGGTAGAGTCTATTGCAGTTGTGCAGTGTATAGATAACTTTGGTTTCTCCTTTTCCATTACCATTACACATCAACATTTGTTACAAAGTCTCTGCCCTGTGTAGCTTTGGGCAAAAACATCGGTCAAGGTCCTGATCTTAATGATGTTGTGTTTGGTAGGTGGTTTATAGGATGTGCAGCTTGGTCACCCTAACTGGAGATTAGTCGATGTGACTGAGTCAATGTGAAAAACAAAAATAAATTGGTTATTTAAAAATAATTTTGATTTTCTGTATTGAATTTCTTTCAATTTAAATTATCTAATTTTAGTAGGTATCACTGATCATATAATTGTGATTTGAAATTTGACTGGGAACCCATCACTTGCACTATTTCACAAAAAACAGAATAAAAAAAATTAATGAGCAGAATTTTTACATCGCAGCCAAGACAGTGGTGTGAGTCTTAGGCTTGTGCATGTTTCGGTGAGGGGACTGGCACCCATTGCACAGCCAACACTGCTTAGAAGGTGCCTTGCTGAGTCTTAAAATGTGTGCAGCTTCAGACTTGCAGAAGTGTCACGTAGCTAAATACCAGTATTAATCTATCTCATCATCTCTCTTTGGATAATGCAGGTATTTACAGCAAATTTCCAGCAGTGCCATTTTCTATTCTCTGTTTCTCACCAAACACTTTGCCATCCTGGACAGAATTTTGGCAGGAAGTATTTAGGTCCAAATGCATGTCATAGATATTATACCATACAGGATTTTGTTGTGGGGTTTTTGTTTGTTTGTTTTTTTAGTGCAAAAAAATACAAGTTGATTGCAAAGCAAATATAAAACAACAATTATAATATCTGCTAATGAAACACTGAAACGAATAAGTGTAGCATCTTTCTCTGTAGCCAATCGTTACCAGTCTTTTCTTCATTCTTCTCTGTTGTCTTTTTACATTTATTATACCTCTACACATAGTATGATAGGGGGTAAAAACAGTCTCCAAGTGCTTTCTGTGAATGTACTTTATGGACAACAGTATTTTTATTTTTCTTTTGTTCATTGGAAAGCGTATTAAATATGAAAGTGATAACTTTCATGTATAGATTGTATGACTCTGCAGCAACTCGAGATCACAAAACAGTGTGGGGAAAGGGGTAAATATCTTTCATGTTTTTTCATGGCAAATAGCTCTTTTGAGAAAAGAAAATACAGCTCTGCAGCAAACTGACAAAAGCCAAGATGTGTAGTAATAAAAATTGACACTGGTGACATAAGGGCCAAATATAAACCAGACATCCTCCCCTCAAGCAACTAATGCTATAATTTAGCAATGATTATATATTTAAAATTACTTCTCAAAAAAAAAGCATATGAGCTGCTAAGTATCTCAGAATTTATGAAAACAGCTTTCCAAATCTTTTTCCTCCCTGAGTATGAATTAGGAAAAAAATTTACTAAGAATTCAGACTGCATGGAGGATTCAGTCCAAAGCTTATCAGGGCTGTTGGCGAGTTTTGCTGACAAGCAGTGGATGGGACTGGGCTTGTAGTTCCCTTTTGCTGAGACTACATTCATGAGAAAGCTTTTGAGAGCCTAAAGATCAAATCATGTTCATGGTGTTGTTGGAGGTGTTTTATGAAAATTGGCCAATATTTGAAAGTCTATCTAAATGCTAGAATTAAACTAGTTTAAAACCTAATTGATAATTCTTATAACTTAAAATGCATGAGAAAAAAATTGAAACTCTTAGATGTAGGTTAGAATTGCTATTTAATAATAAATCTTAATGAGTTCTGTGGCTCTAGTGCTATCAGAGTATTTCATCTTTCAAGTTCACAGGTGGGTCTGTGCTGCCAAATATCAGAATTGTCTTGAATATGATCTGATTTGATCAAAAATTTAGTGTTACGTACCTCTTACCACAAAATTTAAAATGTATGGAATAGCTGCTACATAAGTGAATCATAGGGGCTTCCTCATGCAATGCCTACCACATCTTGCTATGAGAAAGTAGTTTCTGAAAGTTTTATTGGATTAAAAGTTTTCATGGAGAATTGCATTTATTTTTAAATGAAATAAGATGGTGATTTCTAGCCACTGCTTATAGCCAAATTACCCAAAGGCAGCAGTCTACATTGCAGATTTATGGCATGCGAAATTATCAGGTTTTAAAACAATGTTTTTGAGGGATAGAAATTTCCCAAATTTGAAACCACTAATTTTCTTTTTCAGGACTATTTTGTAGCTTGAAAAGCCAATCCATTAAAGAAAAATATGGTTAAAAGAATTACTCCCAAGTGGTGACTTTTGTTGCCAAACTTCAGGCTGGAGCCAATTTTTAGGGCTGATTTAGAAAAATAGGGTTTTTATAATGGAAACGCTGATGTAATCTTTACTACAGTGGCACAAATGGTGCTGGTATGATTGATTTATGACATTTAAGCATCTTAACTTAAAATCTGTACAATTTCTGTGAAATAATTGGAAAATATCCTACTGGTGATTTAACACACTCTGCAGAAGACCAAAGCATTTTTGTTCATGGTTTCCACACTGTCAAAGCTTGGCTTTGTCATGTGCAGTGATCAAGCTTACAAACACCTTTAAATATTATTAATTGGAATTTCCAAAAAGCTAAATAAAAGCCTCAAAACTTTATAGATAGCCTATTTTCCTGCAAAGCAGAACCATGTTTTAAGTTTTTGAAAAGTCTATATGTGAAAACCAGTTTATAGTGGCAGAAACTTCTACATACAATTAATACAATATGTAGAACATATTCAATTTCTTGGTGTGTATTGTTAAAGAATTGTAGGAAAACCAAGGAAACATTTAGGAAGTCCCCAGAAGTTACAACCAGTTTATGCTTATAAACCAAAATGTTGGAAAGAAAATGCAGTGTTTTTTTCTTTGTTCTATCAGTCTGCTGGGTGCAGTTGGTTTCATGTGACTGAATTTTAACATTTGCTGACTTTTTTATTTAAATCTCATTAAAATGCTTTTTGCAAAAGGTTGGCACTCAGAATGTGTATTTGCTGCTCACAGATTGCAGCATCTGGCAGACAGGTTGTATTTTAGCCTGACCTAGAAATACAAATTTTTGCCAATGTAAAAGATCTAAAGCTGTGACTTAGAATAACAGAGGTGAGGATCTGCCTTGGCTAATTACCCAGGTTTAGGACCGTGCCTGGTAGAAGCCAGTCCTGCTTACTGTGGTTGGTTGTGCCTTAAGAGAAGTTTTTGACAGACTGGGCAGAGCCACTGCAGTGAAGATTTGTGTCTTGCCATTCTCTGTGTATTGATAATGGTGCTTGATATCTTCAGCAGGAATTCAACGTCCCAAGGGAATTAAAGCATGAACTCGTTCATGGGCTTTTTCTTCACTGAAACAAAACACTTCCATTTGGTGCTCATTTCAGCAAGGTGTTTTTGTTGGTAATAGTTTATATTCCATTATAGGCCAATCTGTCATATTTCAAATATCCCTGGTGTTTCTTGTACTCTGCATGGGTGGATGTAACAGCTGATTTGTAGTGTCTCATTTGCTGTGCTGATCAGCTGCATTTGCTGGCTGTGAAGGCAAGTACTGGTACATGAGAAAATGCAGAAGAAAAACTGTTGATGAAGCTAACAAAATAAAGAGATTTTCCTCTCCTGCCCTTTATGCAACTGGAAGCTTGTCCTATGATGGCATTTTGAGCTCACTGGCAGGCTGGCTTGCTTCTGTCCAGGTCCTCTAGCTGTCATTGAACAACAATTAAGGCAATGCTTAAGAGGAGTAAAAATCAGGGAGACGGTTAGTATGGTGTCTGAGCAATGAAAATACCAATAGTCAACCAATAGTTGAGCAATAGTTGTTGTGTTCTATTTAATAATGCAGTCTGCATGTGAATATTCTTACAGAGGATAGGCGTTGTTACTGGGGTAGGAGTACAAAGACATTACATCTTTCCTTACAAAGACATCAGAAATGTCTTTTGTCCACTTGAATGAGACTATACTTGCTTGTAAACACACACATGTGTGAGTATTCAAGTTATTTAATGTGCAGACTAATACTTCAAAAAGTTTTACCTTTGGGGGCTTATTAAAAGAAACTTTAAAGAGTTAAACTCAGTCAATTAATGAAACTTTATGACTATTTCCAATGGCCAATGTACAGCCCTAATTACGGAGAACACTTGCAGAATTGTGGCCAT